ACTGAAGTGGAACTCAGACCATAAAATGTTTCTTCTTTGATAATCTTGCCTCTGCTTTGCCCTTGACAAATGGAGCCCTGATAGACAGCAACATAAACAGTACTGAATTCTTCTATTTGAGAGAGGTATTTGCATGTGGCCTCACTGCCCTTTGAATTAAGGCACAGAGAAAAGCACCAAATATCGGGGTTAGCAGCCTCACACAGTTTGCTGCTAAAGCGTGATCCAATGGCTGCAACAGATACACACAGTCCCCGCCAGCCACCCACACAGCACTGCACACATTTGTGGAACAGGTAACAAATCACCATTTCGACCTGTTAGAGCAAGTCCAGAGGAGGCCACGAAGATGCTGGGGGGGCTGGAGCAGCTCCCCTGGGAGGCCGGGCTGAGAGAGTTGGGGGGTTCAGCCTGGAGAAGAGAAGGCTCCGGGGAGACCTTCGAGCGGCCTCCCAGGACTTAAAGGGGGGGACAGGAAAGGTGGGGAGGGACTCTTTATTAGGGATTTAGGGATGGGACAAGGGCTAACAGTTTTAAACTGAAAGAGGGCAGATTTAGATTAAACATAGGGAAGAAATCCTTCCCTGTGCGGGCGGTGAGGCGCTGGCCCAGGGTGCCCAGAGCAGCTGTGGCTGCCCCCTCCCTGGAAGGGTTCAAGGCCAGGTTGGACGGGGCTGGGAGCCCCCTGGGCTGGGGGAAGGGGGCCCTGCTCGTGGCAGCGGGGTTGAAGCTGTATGATCTGAGGTTCCATCCAATCCAAACCATTCTATGGTTTCCAGAAGCCCAGAGAGGACCCAGGATCACAGATCTTACCAACATGGACAAATGCATCTTATACGCTTAGATAAACTAGTAAATGAAAGAACCATCCTTTTGCTATTAGACTTCAGAACACTCCTCTGATGCAGGGAAGCAATATATTCTACTCCACAGACAGAGTAGAGATGAATCTGTGTAACCCTGAATTAGCAAAACTAACAGGAAATCTGTACCTGAGCAGGGCATTGACTCCCGTTTGTGCAGCAGGAACTCACCCTGCAGATCACTGGAGCCTTTCAGATCCAGAGCAGGAAAAAGCAGCGCTGCTCCGCAAGCCGGATGACCAAGCTCCGCTGCAGGCCAAAACTGCAGCACTGGAATATGTTCCGTATCAGTGGAGGTGCAGATTTGTAGTTAGTGGGGCCAGGCAGATTCTAACCATTCCTGATCCAACAGAAATCTTCCCTACCCGGTATGTTATTCTGTTTCCAGTACCTGTTCCCATGCATGACCCTTGGCTGGCTCCAGGTGGGCTGCAAACCAAGCCCCCACTAACCCCACAGCTGGAACATCGCCTTACTGGGACTTGGCTCCGGGCATTATGGGCACAGACAGCATTTGTTACACTACCTGGTGATACACTTCCCTGAAGTGCCAGTGGCCACATGCATTTCAAAATTGTCTCTCCTCCTCCTTGCATTTTAGTTGAGTGTATTTTACTTTCACTTTGAATAAAGAATAAAATGTAAAAAATCAGGAATGATGCACAAATTCAGAGCTTGGAACGAGCAATAGGGTAAACTGTATACATGAAAAATTAGACCAGCTTTAAAACACAAATTCACAAAAGGAAAAAAAAAAAAAAAGGAAAAAAGTCTCAAAAATTACAGAGAAGGGTGAACAAATTTGGTCTCTGTAGCTGGCACCAAACAAGCAGTCAGGGCTCCTACCAATATGAAAGACAATTAGATTCCAGCAGACAAACCAGAAAGTAATGATTATGATTGCTGATGCTGCAGACCATGGCTGGCCCACATTAGGTTAAGTAAGCTGGACGCAAGCCAGTATCATTGAACAAATGGTGTGGCACGTTCTGGAGGAATCTGAGGAGGGATTACTAGTATCTTAAAGGTGACCTTTCACATATGCTATCCCAGCAAATCAGACAATTCTCTGGCTATAATGGACTCGATCAGCAGAGCTCAGTCTCTTGGAAGTTATGCACTCTTCATACAAATAGGATTTTTTTTTTTTTTTTTAATTTATAATAATTGACTGCACCTCATTTGAGCAAAGTACCCTAAGTGCTTTACTGGTTTACTTCTCCCCTTCCCCCTGCTTTAAAGAAAACATAATCTAACTTTCCATTATTCATTATCATCCAGGCAGGCAGCAAGCTAAAGAACTCTAATTTTTAGCCATATTGTCTATTAAAAAATGTAAAATGTTTCCTAAAGGGGCAGGTGCATTAATCAGGGCTGCCTCAGGATAAATGAAAATTACTAGGAGTGCTCTGCTTTCCTGAACAAGTTTTCCATAGATTATTTATAATTGAATGAAACCAATTACAGCATTTGTAATGGAAACTGTACATAAATTCAACATTTCCACCTTTGCAGAAGCTGAAGAGCGTACCACATGAACAGAAAAAGCTCTCTACATTTTTATGAAGGGAAAAGAGAAGGTATCTTCTCTGAATAAATTTTCCCATAAGTAAAACAAACAGTAAGTACACTGGGTACAAATCTCATCAGCACAGTCCAAAAGGGCCCCAGTGTAATTGAGAACCAGACCCTGGACTCTGAGAAGCCATCCACAGCCGGAAATCCTGAAGCTGAGGATTGAACTTTCCATTTCTTCAGAGAAGGAAATACAGCTTAATTAGGTTTAATTTACTAAATAATCGTTATCCTCTGTAACTAATCAGTAAAGTTTTAAATCGGTATCAGACTGATGCTTGCTCAAATTATGGAACATGCTCTGTCTTCAAAATATAACCCTACCCTGCTGAAAACTGAAAAAGCTAGAAGACTGACAGTAACACACCCTGGCATATAGTTTTTGTTTTCAAACAGAAAACATCCTTTGCTATCCTACCAAGCAGTCCTTAAAACAACACACAACCATCTCCTGTGCAGAGTTTTTGCTAGTGAGAAACAAAGATAACCTCAGGGAAAAAAGACTTACTGTAGATTCAAACACAACAGCACTTTCTGAATTAATTCTAAACGGAAGAACAAAAATATTTAAAGTTACTGCTTGGGAACCAAGAAATACCCAAATAAAATTATTTGAATAATCATTAAAGAAAATCCTCAGCCTGAAAGATTCTTCAGAGTAAATTCCATTTCCAAGTCAGCTAAAAGCAATACACTCAGTGAATTCATCTGTAATTGTCTGATATTCACCTGGATCATGAATTTTACCCCATCTGTAAGCTAGGAAAGCGCATATTAATTATGAAGCTGACAAATGCAATAGAGAATTATGTTTTAGCATTTTGTAACATGCTGCATATATTGCAGGAAATACCTGTCAGACGATTTTTGCTGCCAGTAGTCAGAAAGCTTAACTTTATTCCTAATTACTTCTATATAATCAGTAATGAAGCTGTGCAATGATATAAGAGGTATCTATCTATAGTCAGATAAAACTAATATATATAATAATAATAGTGTACTTTGATTTTCAATTCCCTTCTAGACTCACATAAAAATAGCATCTGAGTGAAAATTAGAGCAGATGCAAGAACATTGTTCATTATGTGGTTTTGGTTTAACACTGCTTTTATGGGATACATTATGACACTACCAACTAGACATTAGCACGATGAAGACCTGCTGTTCTGCAATGCACGTAGGCTCCAATGCCTACTGTGTACTATCCAAGAAACTGGACAAGTACTTTCTTTAGTTTTCATGTTTATCGCTGGATGTCAGATAAACTAGCAGACATGAGTGTCACTGAAGAAAAGGAAAGGAGAACCTGAGGCAATGTGAACTAAGATAACTACAATTATCAAGTGAAGATTTTATCAGATTACTAGAAGTGGTTGGGCTTTTTTTATAATCTACATATTATACTGACAAAGTCTCTGGCTTCGTCAGGTGTTATAAATTGAAGAGAGCTGTGATATTAGGTGTCTTGGAAGGTTACCAATATAGAGGTGTATTTTCTCCCAGTAAAATACTTCCTTAGTTTAGAATACCCTCTGCCATAGCTTCTTTCTGTAGATTCTCTGAAGTATTTTTTTTTCTCTTACATAATATAGTGACTAGCGTTCAGCACAGGAATTAAATTTTTAGATACGTGCATTTCCTTCTCACTTGTTCTCCATAAGAATTCCTTTATTTTCAAGACAGGCAAATCTGTCTGCGTTTTTTAGGTTAGTCTTTACCTTGCTTAAGGCCACGCTGCTACTTATTATTCCATTGACAGTCATGTTGAACTTCATACAGATGTGGTCAGCTGCACCATTACTCATTTCAGTAATTTCTGGTCTAATCTTCAACACTTTGAGAGAACACCTGACAGTTATACACTTCTATCATTTATGACACAGTTCTATCATCCTAGGTCTATTCCTCCTTAACCTACAACTTACAAAAACAGATCCACGTTAAGTGTATTTTTATCCATTCCTTTACTTACTTAAATGCTCTCAAATAAGTTTGATTTTTTTCATGCTCTTTTTCCAGCTTTTGTATGACCCATATACAAATTATAGACCGATACTGCCTTCCTGATCTCTCATTCAACACAAAAATAAAGGCACTGTAAAATTATGAAAGTTCATTTCATTGCCTTTATTTAGATGCCCACTTTTCTAACCCCTTATACCAATTCCTGTGGAGTATCCCCACACATTACAAATAGTCACATGCCAGGGAAACACTGCTCCTAAAGTTACAGGATCAGATGTTTTAGAGTACAAAATTACATTGTTGCTATCAAGTATAATCTACCACAATTTTTTGTTTAGAAAATTCTGCAGACAAGCCAGAGCTATCTTCTTTATCGGGTGGCTTCTCTAAGAACAAGCTTCCCCCCAACCCTTCCATTTCAAAGCAGGCTCTACTGAACCTCACGATAATTATCTGTAATGTTTTCACAGACTACTAAACAAAGATCTAGTTGAAGACTAAAAACTGATAGAAAGATAACACCAACTTGTTTAAATGTTTATTCACCTAATAATAAATGTGATAACTGTGAGCAGCAAATAATTAGAGAGCACTTACTGTAGCGGAGAGCTGTGGTCCATTCAACTGTGCGTGCAGGATGGCTTCATTGACGGAGTTCTGGATTCCCGTCAGTGCAACTTCCAGGTCACGTGAAGCAGCCATTTCATTAGTCAGGTATTCCAGCGTGGAGATATACTCCCTCCATTGTGCATCCAGTTCTGACACACTGGCCAAGCAGCCCCTCATTACATTTAGACAATATCCGACACAGGGCCTGATTAGCGTCAGGCCCTGGCAGTGCGGGCAGTACTGCATCTTCACTAGAGCTTTGCTACATTCCTTCGTGAGAGCTGCGTGTTCAGTAGTATTTATCACTTCGATGCCCAGACTGAGGGCCTGGCTGAGCATCCTACTTGCCCAAAGAGATTTTGACAGCTCTGTAACCATGTTTTTAGAATAGCGTCCAAAAGGATTTATGTCTTGCCTTGTAAGTCGTAGACATTCTGTATAGTCCTCTGATAAATCTGTAATTCCTGGGTTTATTAGCCGACTATACACCAGAGGAAAGAGACTGTCAAAGAACCGTAATACTGCACTTTCCACTGTAGTCTCTGCGCCCAGAATGTAGAGAGAGATGTCTGTAAAAAGTTCTTTAACAGGCTCTGCTGCTTCTTTTGCCATAGGTCTGTAAGCTGTCTCAAACAGGGAACTCGTATGGTTTTCAGCAAAGCGAAGCAAAGACTCAAAGGCCTCTAAAAAAAAGGGGCAGGGGAGAGAAAGAACTAGAGGTCAATAGCCAGCACCTGACATCTCAGTCACAGGACTAATACTGTCCTGAACAGGAATATCAATAGTTACATGAAATCTGCAATATGAATACACTAATAGTTAATACAGCCTTCATCAATAATGATTAAAAAGACACCTAAACATTACATGTGCATAATAAAGGCAACACATAATACACAAATATTTTCTTTAAAAAAGATGACTGTATTCTCACTAGTTAGACTCTGACCCAAACTCTAGAGGTCAGTGAAGGACTCAGACTCCAGTGGGCACAGGCAGGGTCTATCCAAGATTGCTTTTGTAAGTGACACTGCAAGTGGGCAGTTCAACCAGATACATTTCCAAAACACCCCTCTAGCTCAATGAAAGCTCATGAGATAACTGAATACAAACAGATGCTGAAACTTTTCTTTCACAGTGCTGCGAGTGGGTGGTAGAGAGGCACTTCTTGCAAACTACAACCCAAGGATGAAGGAAAGATGCTGTGTGATTAAATTCTTTCCCTGTTAACATCAGCTGGGCCTGGACACCAGGCAGTGGTTGGGCAGGACTTGATGAAAAGTCCACTATGAACCAAAACCAGAATGAAACAGTAAGATCAGGAAAACAGTATCTCCTTTACACCATTTTCAAGTGGCTGGAAAAAAAAAAAAAAAGTTTAAGGAGTGCCATGGTTAACACATTTCAAATTGCAGAAAGCAGATATTATACATCCAGAACACTGATTGAGGTGCTAAAATTCATAGACAGGGGCAAGGGAGGGATCAGTTCCCATGATTATTTTTAATGACACAGAAGACAGTAATCCATGCTATTCCCACTGCTTTCTTTGGAAGCTCTACAACAAAAAGCCTCTGACATAAATCATTCTTACACTCCTCTGGGTGATGAGTAGTTCCAGTCAAGGCAGGAGACCTATCACATAACACCTCCTGAGGACTGGCCAGATAATGGGGTTTCGGTCTAGTCCTACTCTACATTCATCTGAACATTGCCATGCGATTCACTGCAACGTAACACAAACTGCAGTCACTCAAAGATCAGCTCAGCAAAGGAGCAGGTACAATACAGGTGTAAGTCATGGTTAGCATACACTGGTAAAGTTTTGTAGAAAAGCCTGCTCAGTGCCTTCCTCTATTACATCTCCCTGGGCAGCTGACTTGCTTGTTATGGTAAGCATTAAAAACACTTCACCACCAAGTGTGATTTAACCAGACACATAATACAACATACCTCATTGTACATTAAATCATCAGTATTTTACACACACACACACGTGCGCGCACATGCTGCATCCTTCTGCCAGAGAATCACTTCAGCATTCCCACTGGTATTACAGCAACTAATACTCTGAAAGTGCTTATAAAATCCTAGAAATTAAGAATTCAGATACAATTCAGTTGAAGAAGAAAAAGTTCATTCTAAGGCAGAGAAACACCTTGCCAAGTTTCAGATAGAAGCAGACTTTTATAGCTGACAAAAATTCTAAAAACTGGATTTATGATGAAAATATCGACACAACCTAAACTGTAGTACAGTTAGCTGTGTGCTACTACACACTACTAAAACTTTTTTGTTTGCCACATCAAACAAATATTTAACTTTTATTTCTAGAGGAAAACTAAACACCATTTCTGTTTATCATACTAAAAAGGCAATATTCAAAACATGAAAACAGTGTTTTAAGTTTCCTCCTTCAACTCCTCATGCTCTCTTATAGATATTCAGCTTATCATTAGACTATGGGAGCAAGGACTGTCTCCTACAATGCCAACAGATTTTTATGCTGTTGCTTTACCTTCCACAACCATAAAGGCAGAACTTCAGCCATCATCCTCCTTATCTGGAAACTAAATTAAATGCATTTAGGAATGTGCAAGTATCCTTATTGTCCTGAGAAATAACAGCCCCAGTGAACGATGAGAGCAAAACAGTCAATGACAACATGCATCTCAAGAAAAGACATTTCACCAGCTTCCTGGGGTACTAGGTTATAGACTAGAAATGATGCAGCATTTCATTTTCAAACCCCTTAACTGAAAATTCTGCATTGAGTTAAATAAAATTCTGCATTATTCTGAGACAAGCATGAAATCAAAATATTTAACAGTGTCATTTCTTTTTCATTGTATAAGGGAAAAATTGTGTTGGTATATAGCTTCATTCCTCTTGCAAAAAGAGCTGTAACATCAAAAACATGGTACAAAAAAATATATTTCTGCTGATTGTACATGTGCTGCAAACACCCGGAAGGTAACATTTGCTTCCTTATCGCCACCGGTCAGTGGTGATAAAATGACTCATGCTTGCGGGCACTCTAGCAATGATGTTTGAGAAGGAAATACGTAGGTCTTTTTTCATTGTTAAGGCATTAAGAGATGTTTGAGACAATCAAATTACTGGATCAGTTGGATGTTCTTTGACCTTTAATTAGAAATAACAGGTCTTCATGCAGTCAAACAATTTTGTAACAGTGGACAGCTTGCATTCTGGTTGTACAGAGCATCTTGTTTTAAAAGTGATTAAATATATGCTTCTAATGCATCTTGTATGGTATTTTGTATAGAGTTTCTAAATCCCAAGGAAGGTTTACCACTACCTGAAAAACTGTGCTCATCTGTGCAGTCAAACACAGCAAACTTTAGACATTTATGAACTCACAGAAAGTTGAATTCTAAGCATACACTGGGAAAAACCTTTGATCATCTTTCACAGCCTTTGGCTTCAACCCCACCACCAGCAGCATACAACGTACTATAAATTGCAAATACACTGATTCTGAACAGAAGTCATAACCAAAATAATCCGGAATTTGATGAAGACATCATGTATTTTTTGTCTTCTTTTAGTACTGAAATAAATAAATAGGATTTTGATTTAACACTACAGGGAAAGTAAAAGAGCAGCCAGCTTTTGATTTGGAACTAACGCACTGTTAACTGCTTAATGAATGTGAGGCAACATCACTTTCACAGGGAGAATTTTGTTCAAACTGTTTATCACGCGCTCACGAAACACTTGACACCACAACTGATGGGTCTGTAACAGTCAAACACAGCTGACCAAATACAGCTCACCTCTGGAAACTTCACATTGGAACTGCTGGTGTTTGAAAATTAGCTGCTGAAGCCAAACCCAGTTATGACAGATGCCGCACTGGTTTTGCAGCTCCACCAGCAGCACAGAGCCTGCCAGGCCAAGCAGTTAGCCAGTCTGCATGCTGGGCTTCCAGCCTGGTTCCTAGCATTCACATACACTAAAAATTGTATTATGCTCAGTCTAACACACAGATGGAAAAACATTGCTTTGCATGTATAGTATCCATGCTTATTCATCATGAGCATGGCACAGCCTGGTTTTGAGTGATAGCTTCCTTCTGACAGAAATACATCCATCCTGACACCAAGGATGTTTTACTTCTCTTAAGCCAGCCAGCAGCTACATTTCATATACCTAATGCAATAAAAATCACAAAGGATTCCCGACTTATCTTACACCAGCTTTTGCACCAGTGTAACACCACAGACTTCTTCAATGGGATTTAATCCTGATTTAAGCCCACTGTATGACAAAAGCTGCAGAATTTAAGTGTTTCTGCTAAATGATAGTGCTAGAGGGAGAAACAGATTTAGGAGGCATGTATCAGTCTGCCCAACACTGCTGTACCAGCATTTTCCAAAGATTTCCTCTTTTCAACATCTCGGGGTATATTTGGGGAAAGGATGAAAGGACAAGTAGATTTTAACTAACAGTACAGGCAAAGGAAAAATAGCAAATATTGTAACTACAGCTTTGACTAAGTACTCATGTCACGTAAACGCTGCATTCAATGACTGCATTCAATTCCTGCTAACTCACTTCAGCAGGAACAGCTTCTTGTGGTTTTCAATTGCTGTCATCTCTATTTGAGTGCAGGCAGGTGCAACAGCTCTCCAAGTCTGCATCTAGGCCGCCACCTCTTCTCCTGAAGCCTTATCCTTAGGACAAGAATCAAAGATGCAAAACTGCCACACATCAATTTGTCACTCATTCTGCCACAAAAATCTTTCTGGGTGTGTCCTGAGAAAGTGTTGGTTTTTTCAGGCTCCCATACACATGACAACATAGCCTCAAGGAGAGACCTCAACAGAATAAATCACTGAAGTGCATAGCAAGCCTGCACACACATGGTAGTACGAGAGCTTGCATTCAGGATTGCCTTCACCTCATAAACTTTGTGCTTCTTACAGCACATGATGGTCAGCAGATGCAGTCTCAGGGAATACACTGAGATGGGAGTTCTTGAAGAATATCTGAATTGTCATATGATCGTCATTCATAGAGAAAGTTCATTTGCTTCCCTCCTTTACAGGAGACTTTCACAAGCTATTGAGATCCTTATTCTGTAAGCAACTATAGGGGCCAGATGGCGAGCATTAGGAGAGGCTAAGCAACTTCCAACTTGCTCGATTATCAATCAGTCCAAATCCATGTTCCTTTCTTTCCACAGGTCCAACGCAGGAATGTTAACATGGGAACCACTTTCCCAAAATAAAGCCAATCTAAGCACCAGACACCTCTGTGCACAAAGGACCATTTCTGTTGTGCGGTAGCTGAGGCTCAGATAGAGTGGGTGTACTGTTTGAACCCCCATGTCTTCGAAGACCGAAGTCATCAAAGTGAGTGCAAATCACAACACACACATGTGAAGGGAACGTTCCTGTCACTGTCATTATGCTTCTGTGTGTGACTCAAGGCTGGCGCCTTGCCCACAGCGCTGGCAAGGTAAGACCACCCTGCTAATGCAATGCCCCTCCACTAAATTAATAATTCCTTACACTCTGCAGTAATTGCATATGTGCTGAACTTAAAATTTAAAAATCCACAAACTTAAAAAAAAAAAAAAAAAAGGAAGCCATTATATTCTAAACATTACTGAAAATATTTAACAGTGCTCAATAAACCAAAAGTAGAAGCAAACACT